TTATATTAGTTTCAGGTGTACAACATATGGATTCAATAATTCTCTACATTAGGCTGTGCTCACCACTGTAAGTGTAGTTAGCATTCTGTCACCATACAATGTCATTATATTTTTTCTGCTCTCCTGCCATGCAGAAAGCTTGGCAAGGCAGGCCCTGCCTCTCCCGGAGAAGCTGCAGGTGTCCAGCATTTCCCAAGATCACTGGGACTGGAATGTTTAAGAAACACAGATCGAGGGCCACCTTCTGTAATCCACTTGACCAGCTGAGATTTTGACACACTCTGACTGTCGCTGTGTCTTATTTCCTAATTAGTTCTAGATTCAGGAGGGGACAGAAGGAGTGTCTTTACACGCCTCTTAACACTCCAGCACCTTTTATGTTTGAAAAAAGGAGGTCACCTGATGTTTAGCCTTAGGAAGGGGATGGCCAATGTCCACTGTCACCTCTGGTACATATGGCCTTCTTTTATCCTCAGCCATGGAGACACCTTGGAGTCCCTCTTGACATGGTGTTCACATGGACAGTCACCACCAATAAACTGCCACAGCAACGTGAAATTATCTGTTATCCCAGACCTCTGCATATTGGGCGCTGGCTGATTTCCTTTCTGAAGAACTTCTTACTATACTTAGCCAGACAGGTTATCTGTGGTCATCGTTCATTCACTCACTGCACAAATAGTTAATTAGCAATTTATACCTCAAATGGGGGGGCGGGCAGAAAAAACTACTGTCTTTATGGGATCTCTTTAAAATAATCAAGTATTGAGGATAATAAAGGACGATGAGCCTTGCTGAGAAGACATATTCTCACTGCACTAGTGGGTACAATTTAGAAAGAAAGAGATTGAAAGGCTCAAACATTCCCAGAGCTGGCAGGCCATCCGCCAAGGATGAGTGTGACAATCTTATGTTCCATATAACAGCAGAGAACTTCCTGACACCTTAGCCCCATCATGAGTATTTCTAGGACTCTACAAACAGTCCCACATCCAAATGCCTATGGTTTGTCCTAAAATTCTAACACCACTTCTCTATTCTGAATACACAATTTGAAAATACCAATATTTTCCATTCCACTTATGAATGTTAGAGGAGAAGTGACCAACATGCGAGGAGGAACTGAGAACATCTACCTGACACAATGCAACTGCACACAAACATGCTTCTTGGTAAGTAAGTCAGGCATGCACCCTCAATCATAGAAGCTGCACGATAAATCATTCAACAAAAGCAAAAGGAAGAAATGGAAGGAGGTGAATTCAAACAAAACCAAAACCCTTCCATTATTTACACTCCAAAATCAGAAGAGGAAAACCAACCATACTAATTGGTTGATCTTGGAGCCTAGATAGGTAGGTGAGTAGGTATGTATGTAGGTAGGAAGGTAGGTAGGTAGGTAGGTAGATATCCATGGTGAGAGTTAGAGAGAGAGAGAGAGAGAGAATTTTCCAAGATGCTTGAAAGGAAAAGTAAATATAACCCAACACACTCGTGTTTTTCATTTTTGTTTCTGTCCCCACCCCGTCTTCCTCCTATCCCTCGGAGACTACAGCCCTCGGAGAAACGGAATTGGGTATTAGCTGGCTATTAATTAGAGGATCTAAGTTTGCTGGTACGGAAGGATTAGTGAGAGCTAGCCACACGATGCTCGGCTAATCCCTCACCTGAGGCACCGGGGGCCGTTATGGCCTGGTGGTGCTGTGTGGGTAGGAGTTCCGAGGAAATTGAGAGGATCTTTTCCTGACAGCTTCCTATGCTGAGTGTCAGCACCTGGCCTGCTTTGATGATGGTTTTTACCCTAATCAGACCACCCAGGAACTGCAGGGACAAGAAAGCCAGCTGAGTTTCAGGGACATGTCCATGAAGCTATAGGAGGATTACAGAAAAAAGGCATTCTTGTTATCTGTAAAATCCATATACATTCCTACACAGACAGGAGGAAATGCCATTTGGGGCTGTGTGCTTATGCAGTTTAGAGCTTGTAACTTCATCTTCTAATTTTTTTAGAACATTAAGGAGAAGTTACACAATATTCAGGAACAAAGTCCAACTTCAAATTCAGAAGTCCCTAGGAAGGAAGAAAGGATTAGGGTGCATTCATCTGGTTTAAAGATGCTGACCCCAGTGAGAAATTACTGGACTAGTGAAGTGTGAACACACTTGTTGGAAAGGTGAACACTCTTTAAAGTACTAATGACCCTCATTAAGAAGGCTTCCTCTTTCAGTAATTATTGCCTGAGTTCTCTGACCTCAGTCCAGACACCAGCCCAAGCTCGATTTATCTGTGACATCATCCCATGCCAATGCTGTCCTCAGACACTCAGGTTTTAATACAGGACATCTGTGACTATTTGATGCATTCCTAAACCCAAAATGTAACATTCTAGAATGATTATTTATATTCAGGAAGAAAAGAGGAGAAAAGTACAATGTATTTCATGATGGACAGGCACAAGAATCAGTGATGCCCAGGTTGGAAGGGCCAGGAGAGAGAAGAAAAAAGAATAATATCAGCCGTGTCTTCAAGGAAATTTTATAGGCAAAGTAGACAAGTATACAATGAAATTAGATGAGCTATAGAACTGTGGGCATGTTACTTGACCTCACTGCAATTCTATCATTTATAAAATGGGTATAATAAGAGTATGTATCTGATGTGGCTGTGACGAGGATCCAGTGTGTTAATACGTGTAAAGTACTTAAAATAGTACCTGGCACACAGTAAGTAATGATGATGATGATCATGGTGACAATGATGATGTTACTGTCATAATGGTTAATTTTTTTTTATCTTTTTTAACTGAGATATGGCTGATCTATGTTATATTATGTAATGGTCAATCATATGTCTCAACTTGAATAGGCCACAATACCCAGATATTCTGGCGAAACACCAATCTAGATGTTGCTATTTTTAGGTATTTTAGATATTTTTAGGAGAGATTAACACTTAGGTCAAGAAATTTCGAGTAAACAGATTACTCTCCATAATGTGGGTGGGCCTCATCTAATCAGTTGAAGGACATACATACATATATACTGTGTATACTTCTGTGCAGTGTGTATATATTCTTACTATATACTATACTTACTATATGTATGTGTATATGTACACGTACACACACACACACACACACCCTACTGGCTCTATTTCTCTGGAGGGCCCTAACACAAATGATATTTTTTAAATTATTATTTTATGGCCAAAAAAGATGAGAGAAATGCCAGGGATCAATATCACAAACAAGATTTCAACTTGATTAACTTTTTCTGTAAGGGCCATCCTGTTTGATCTTGCTTCCCTGAGAACACTGGCAGAGTGTCAAGAGGACAATTTACTTAATGCATACCTAGTTGTTTCCTTTCTATTAGAAAATAAATACAAATGTTTAATTAAAGTAAAGAAGTCACATCCTGATCATATCAGGGGCAAAGGTCTTCACACTCAACTCACTTAATCATATAAACACAGCGACTCAGTTCTTGGATTTAGAAGGTAAAAAGGCCTCCCTCAGTTCCCCTCTTCACTTTGTTGAAGAACACCTTAGGCCTTCCCTACAGAATAGTTCCTATCAGTTTAGACTGACACTGTATCTAAGGAACATTTAAATATTTGCAACAAATGCAAATGAATTGCCCAAGAAGAAAAATCCAACTCCATGCCACTTTAGAAAGGCTATGATATATTAAGAAACTAACCACTTTCTTTAATATCTCTTAACTCCAGACAGGGACAAATAAAGCTATTTGTTAAAACAAAGCTTCCTGAAACATCTAATATTCTGACAACTTCTGCTAGATTAATGAAACACTTGAAATATAAAAAGTGAAATCTGTATTTCTTTCATTATCTGTTTATGGCATTAATAAGAACTGCTTTGCTAAATACTCTATTGTCAGTTTTCTATTGGGATAAATTTAAGGTATTAAGAATACATAAGAGCTTTATATTTAAATCTTGTTCCAAATGATGACTATATTGTTCCGATGGGGCCCACAGCATTGAGGTTATAGTTAGATGCATTATACTGTACTGAGCTAAAAGCTAACTTAGGCTGAAAATAGCCCTCCACAACCACTGAGATCTTATAGTTTTCACTAAAGTCTACCCCCGAATTTAAATGTCTGATGTGGCAGGAAACTCGTGCTCTTTAATCAGGAGGCTCTGATGTCCCAGAGTTTCTGTGTGTGTTTGCATGTGAGTGTGCATGGGGTTCGTGTGTGTTGTTACATTTCATCTGCTATACGGGCTTTCCTCTATGATTACAAAATATTTTACACATATTAATTAGAAAAATATCCCCCTGAAGTGGATAGAATTTTCCAGTTTTCTAAATTATCTTCCCAGATAATTTGCTTTCAAACTAGAACTAGAATGAGGAGGCAATTCTAAATTGTCACGTTTTCTGTCTGTCCCTTGTGTTCTCACCTATCTGTTTCATGACCACCCTCCCCTCGCTCCCTTTCTTCAAGCTCCAGATTTCTAGGTCCATCGTAAAGGGAATCAACAAAGACTACGAGCATTCTCAGGATGGGCTTCTGAAGCCTTGAACAGGTAAATGAGCTTCTGCTGCTACTGAGAACAAACCAGGACTGAGCGAGCCCTGCCAAGGAGGGTTCTGCTGAGCGTCTGTCATCAGGGTATGGATGGACGGGGACCGGAAGGGGAGTTTCTTTGGCAGTCAGAGAAAAAGAAACTGGCCTAGCACTGCTCTAAATTGACAGGAACTATGAGGAATTCCTTAGACGATTCAGCAGCCATTCCTGCTATGAGAGGCCTTGCTTGAAAGATGTTCTTAGACTTTTGTCTTAGGGGCAGTCTAACAAGTTGCTATGCTATTGTTATGTGTTATGTGTTAGGCTTATGAGAGCAGCCTAGCACACTATGCCCAGGAAGCCTAGCAGTTTTACAAGATCTCAATTATATATGGTAGCAGAGACCATATAAGCTAGCTGCTTATCACAGTCCATTCTTCCCTTCCTCCTTTACTAATAGTACCTGAATTTTGTTGGACAAGGCAACGTATCCACTTTACATTTCCCAGTTTCTGCTGTGACCACTCACGTGACTAAATCCTACTGAGTGGGATGTAAGAAGTTACATGTTGGGGCTTCTGAGAAACTTCCTTAAGAGGGGACTTACTCAGCTAGCAGCCTCCATTCTGCCCATCCCCCCTCCTCCTCCTTCCTATCAGGAATAGAGATGATGACGGCTGGAGCTGCAGTCACTACCTTGTGACAATGAAGCAGCATTGAGGATAAAAGCTACTAAGGATGGTAATTTTAAAAAATGAGCCTGAGGCATTGATAATATGATGGTTAGGCAGCTTGTTAAGATCAATCAATCAATCAATCATTTAAAGATCCCTACAGTTTATCTCCCAAGTAGCTGTAGTCGCCCTTTATTCTAGTCAATTATTCAGCATCTACTTAATGCCTAATGTGAGCCAAGTGCCAATGGTACAAAGGATGAGGCACACATCATGCCCTCAAGGAGCTAACAGTCTGCTGTGGGAAACAGGTAAGTAGCAGAGTACATGTTGTATGATAGTAAGATGTGTGTTATTACCCCATTCAAAAGAGGTCTATCAAGTCCCTACTAAGTTCTAGACACTCTCCCAGGGACACAATAAGGAGTTTATATTCTAAATGGCATGGAGAAGAGCAAGTTGGAGAAACAAAAACAAAAATAGTAAGATTAATGAACAAGACAAGGTCAGAAAATAGGGGTGCTGTGACAGTGAGTGACTGCTGGTAGCCAGCAAAGGCCTCTCTGTATTTAAACCGAGATCCTGAACAAAGAGAAAAAAAGAGCAAAACTGCCCTGTGGAGAGCTGAGGGAGGAGCTCATGCAAAGGTCTCAGGCAGGTATAAGCTGCTGGAGGATGATGCTAATAACTCCTAGAGAGAAGCACTTAGCCCTGACTGGATGGGGGGGGGGGTGGTTAAGGAAGTTTCCCAAGTTGGCCTGGCAAGTCCTTCCCTCTAGAGCACAGAATTCCCAGCAGAGAAAGCACAGTGACTGAATTCCCTCCCCCCACCTTCCCTCAGGCCCTACTCAGTGACACCACAACTGTGCCTCACTCCCAACATATTTTCCTTCCCTGAGAAATCATCACAAGAGACTCAGAGGGGAAAAAAAAACCAAACCAAAGAAACCTATCCTTCTCATTCTATATCAGAGGAAAATAATTTTTGGCAGCACTGCCACTTCGGAAGCAGTTGTCATGATGAAGGCCCAGCCTGTACCAAGATCAACGGCCACGTAAAAGTTCACTAACACACCATTCCTGTTCAAAGTTCGCCAGGTACCTCAGTTCAGAAGGGTCAACTTCATTCTTCATTGGCCATATGCCAAGCCAGTGTGGAACAGAAGCAGCCCAGACCCTCAAAGCCACAAGAGAAACTGATGCAAACTCATGCCCCTTAACTCCAAAACCCCAACCTAGTTCTGTATGAGGCCCCATGAACACGCATGGGCCTGCCGGATGGTGCCTGTGTCCTGAGTACCCTCCAACGGCTTCATGACATTACCAAGCAGATGAGGACATCCCTAATCTTTTGGTTTAGCCAGCATTATTTAAACAGTGGGAAATATGGAAACACACCAGTCCACTGACTTTAGAAGATTCTGAGGTGATGTATCCAATTTTCAATAAATGATGATGTTATCACCTGGACAATGATTCTTTGATCATTAAAAGAAAATGTGACACTGTCCTCTTTCTCAAACCAAAATGAGCTCTTTTCCTTTGGAAAAAAAAATGAGGGTTTATCAAGTGAAAAGGTTTTTCCTCATTTTAATGAAGATCCTTTCTCTCTTTTCATAGATTTACTGCACTCAGTAATTGTCAAGTTATTACCTAGTGATCTATTTCTAATGAACTCTACTTGGTTAAAAAAGAAGCTGAATGAAAAAAAAAAGGAGTTGAACGCCAAAGAATAATTTCTCATTGGTTTCCTATTACCTTTCTGTTGACTGTTCAGTCTCCCATCTAAAAGTGGGGCTGCTGACAGTTTTGTGGAGTCTTCCGGTGACTTCCCTCATATACGTTTCTCTCAGATTAGTACTTTATGTAAAACTGGGACTGGTAGATCATTTTTCTCACTGATGCCTCTATTTGTAATTTTCGTCTGATCATCTAGATTAGACTGAATGTTGGCTCTCAACCTGGGACTAGTAGATCATTTTTCTCACTGATGCCTCTATTTGCGATTTTCATCTGATCATCCAGATTAGATTGAATATTGGCTCTCAAGCTAACCCACGCTGTCTTCTATGAGTTCTCTGTGTTTAAAATAAGCCTCCTTATATTGGCTTTTTGTTCTACTGGCCCAAGTTGAGATTGGAGTTGATGATCTTGGGTTGGAGTTGATTATATTCTTTGCATATTGTCCCAGTGTGGATACTTCTCACTATAGAATTAAAGCTGTTTAAATGTATTACCTGTTCCTCTATCAGTAATAACGTCCATATGTAGGAATAGCCTAATAAGTCAAGCAGGATTAATTAGACAAAAAAACCAACTTAAGGCAAAGCAGACTGTGAAAGGGTGGTGGTGGGGAACCTGAACTCCCACTTCTTCAAAGTGCAGAGGTTGGTCAAAGCCTCCTGTCTTCATCAAATTACACCACCTGCCAGGAGTTCAGGCATGGAAGGAAACATGGAGGGAGCCAGCCCTTCTTTCATTGACGGTCTAGGAGTTTATACTCTAAGGGTGAGTCAGCAGGCTCTACAAACTCTTTGCTTTTTACATTTTTCAGCACTTACGTGCTACAAACCATGCTTGACTCTAGAGGTACAAAGAAGGAAAAGACAAGGCAGTGAGTGACGCAGCTGCCAAAGAGCTCCCCTGTAGCCAGAGTGACAACCAGTCAGTGGCCCACAAGACCCAAGTCCAGAAAGAGCTTCCTCTAAAATGTAATCATCAGATTCGAAAATATACACTTACATTTAATTAAGAAAGGAAATGGACCTTAAGAGTTTATCTGTTGAGGTTTTGTAAACAGACTTAGAGAAAATAGAGTCAACAGGGAGTTTGTGTGACTCTCTGACATAAAGTCAGTAATGCGATTCACCCATTTAAGTATTCCACAGTTAATGGACACCCACTATATGTATGGGCTGGCACTACAGAGGCAAAACATGATCCCTGCTCTCCAGATGCCTTGTCCTCAGAGATAAGTGAATATATCAAGATAGCTCAGAATGCAAGACTTACTGTCTGCAGGTTGATGCAAAGACAAGAACCAAGGCATGAAGGAACCAGAGATTAAAAAATGGCCTTTAGTTGGTTCTCAAAAGAGAAACATGATTCCTAAGACCTGGCATAATTTTATTCAAAATTACTTTGTAATTTCTACTCGTCCATAACAACACTGTCTCCTCCCTTCGTTCAGACACTATCAGGATCACTTGAATATACGTATGCAGAAGATACAAATGGGTAAGTCTCCACTGTCTAATTAGTAAAACACACAGCAAGGAAACAGTTCTTTGACTAGGTAAAACCACTAGCCTAATGGAACTCTAAAGTAAACTGCAACACTTTCCTTGAAGACTTACGGCAAAGAGGATCTCCTCTCCCTTTCCACAGGTGGGGTGAAGAGCTGATATTGACGAACATACTGAGCCTTCTCACCTATGAAGTCACACTGCCCACCCAGGCACCCCAGTGGACCCCGCCACAGTGTGGTCGGTTCAGGCCCTTTCTCCTCTTCATGAAGGCAACTGGGAATGGCGAGTTTCTGCTTTTCCATTTGTCCAATTTCTGTCCCGCACTGTCTAGCCAAGAGAAATGAGAAACTCACTATCCATCTCACCCTCACTGGGGAAATTATATGGGGTCTAGGTTATGCAACAATGATTCCTTCAAACAGCTTCTTTTGACTCCAAAATCTAGTCCACAGATATTTTTAGAGATGGCTCAGCTCTGCACTCTGGGATATAGAACCACTGAGAGTAAGCCACACATGGGAAAGATGCTTTTGGGGCTAGAGAGCAGAGGCTGTCAACAAAAGTCTTCCTGGCCCCTAGGGAAAACTGTGAGCCATGGGACAGGGGGGTCTGCCACACCCCAGCACAGCCCGGATGGCATTCAAAACGCACTTGTTGAACAAGTAGTACATGTGACGATGCATGCACAAAGCCAGTTCACCAAAGTTTTGACAAACAGAAATTCCCTCATTACCTATTTCAGTGATTTTCTAAATGTTTCATAGAAAATTAACTTTAAGAACCAGGTCCCCCATTCAGTCCTCCAGGCTCAGTGTAACAGGCACAGCCCCCAACACGAAGACGTGCTTCCATTCTGGGAGATGCCATATGCAACGAAGGTCACTAAGAGATGGGTGGTGGTCCAGAGAGAGGCTCTGATGGACATCCTCCTGGGACTTCAGGGTGCACCACTGTCTTCTGAATTTATCCATAACATGCCCCAAGCTCAGACATGGTACTTCCCTTGCAAACCAACACTCATCAAGAATAAGGGAAAGCAAATTCATCTGGGCCACCCTAATTAGAAACCAATAATAGATGAATAGGAATTAGGGCAAAGTTCACACTGTTTGATACTTGTGTAAAATGGTTTCTTTACGGAGCTAACAATACCAAAAGTTGGTGTGTGGGTGGGTCATAAGTAACTAACTTATTTAGGAGACTATGGTACCTCAGCCACCTTTAATCCCCAATTACATACAAATAACTAACAAACTAATCTCAAATCTTTAAGGTAGTGACTTATGTCTTTTCTTTTTTTTTTTATTTTTTATTGTTATGTTAATCACCCTATATTACATAATTTGTTTTGGTGTACTGGACTTATGTCTTTTCATTTGTGTACCACTCAGAGCCTTGTACTCACTACATCCTAGATAAAATGATCCTAATTAAAATATGTCACTTTAGGGGCTTCTCTTTGGCAACATTTTGTTCTCCTCATGCAAGTGAATGTATTATTTGCTTTAGTCAGTCATTACATAAATATTTATTTAATACCTATTATGTGCAAAGCCCTGTATAAAGTATTGTAACAGGATGTCAATATAAACAACACATTTAAGGAAGTGCATGGATATAAATTCAAAAGGTGGATATATGTAGACAGACTGCACAGAGCTGTCACAGGAAGTGGGAGTTGCAACTGACCAATGAGAGTAAGAGGAAGGCCCTTTAGGACCAGCTTGGGGGACATACACAAGTACGCCCGTGGAGATGGGAGGGTTGGAAATCAGCTCAGTGGAGGTAGAGAGCGTGGCGTGGGAGTACACAGGGAATACTAAGACATTCAGGTTTTTTTCAATGCACAGAATAAATGAAGGGACTGGTGGGGGATAAAGCTGGGAAGACAGAATGGGGACTTAGCATGGATTATCCTGCAGCCAAGATCAGGCATCTAGATTTTGGCCATAAGAAGTGAGTGGCAGAAATCTTTTAAGCAAGGGAAGTCGTGATAGTTGTACGGAAGAGCAATAAAACCACATTATTTTTCTAGTCCTCTCTACCTTGGGGGACTCTCATTTAGGTTGATTGACTTCTCTCCCCAACACTAGTCTGCGTTAATAAAACTCTGCTGTACAGGTGACCAGTCTGGGGGTACTCAGAGCTCCATGGCTGCCTGGGCCTACCTTGTCCCGGGGGCAAGGCCTGGCCATCTTCTGCCTGCAGTGCTCAGTTCCTATAGAACTCACCCCATTATGGAACTGCAGGTGTGGGAGAATCTTACACTAAGTGAATCCGGAGACAACTCCCTGTTTTACCCCCATCCCATCCACCTGCTCCTTGACACCTTTCAGCTTCTGTGGCACACTCTGAGGGTCTTGCTTGGCTTTGTGTGCAGACAGCAGGGATTTTTCTTTGCTGCTATAGTCTATTGTATTTCATTTGGAATCGAAAAACTCAAAGGAAGAAGGATGATGAATGAGAACAGTGGATGGCAAGGGCCTTGTTGAAAGGACACCTTCACCCTCCTGCCCCAAATTAGCTTCTCCTGCTATCCCCCCAGATGGACCTCCCTGCCTCTTTCTGAGAAAGAACAGAAGTCCTAAAGACACAGCTCCAGAAAGTCCAGGACAGAGCTAGCAGCATGCACAGCATCTCCTCATCCTAAACCTTCAGTCCATGTGGGAAAACATCTGAGAATTAAAACCACTGCGTCAATAAATAAATAATGAAAATTAAAACTGCTAAGTGAAATAAGCCAGTCAGAGAAAGACAAGTAAGTAGCGGAGTACGTGTTGTATGATTTCACTCATATGTGGAATTTAAAAAACAAAACAAACGAACAATGGGAAAGAAAAGAGACAAACCAGAAAAACAGACTCTTAACTATAGCGAACAAACAGATGGTTACCAGAGGGGAGAGGGTGGGGGATGGGGGAAATAGGGGATGGGGATTAAGAGTGCACTTGTCTCGATGAGCACTGAGTAATATATGGGACTGCTGGATCACTATATTGTACACCTGAAACTAACATAGCATGCACTGTATGTTAACTACCATGGAATTAAAATTTAAAAATTCATTATGACAGAGCATTTGATATTTAATATGCTCTTTTGTCTAATTTTAAAAAATGTTAAATGCAGTATCATATGGACTAAAGAACACATAAACTTAAAAAAAAAAAAAAGGGAGTTGTGTCTTCCCTACCACGAGCTCATGACCACATCCAATCCTTCCAACTAAAGTGATATGAATCCTGGGAAAGAAATGGGCAGAAAACCTCTGGATGTATCCTCAATTTAACTCCTCCAATTAAAATATTAGTTGGAAAAAATAAAGGTCACTTTCAAGGTGACCTTGGCAAGTTACTCAGGTTTCAGAGGTCTCATCTGGAAAATGGGAAAAATACTAGTACAGGGGTGGTCAAGAATTAAATGAAGTAATGCATATAAAAGTACTTAACCCATTCATTTAGGATGTCTTATTGCTGCTAACATTCATGTATCCAAACTGTTTTATTTATTTCACTGTTTCCATCTCAAGTGAAACATTGTTTCCTTTTAGTTCCCCTTAAGGCAGGAGAAAAGAACTTTGGGGCTAGTATGTGAACTCTTATCTGGTGTATGAATGTTCTAAAACACTCACAGGCATCTATATGCATCTTCTACAGCTACTGAAATAATGTTTCAAATATCAAAACATGGAATGGAATGAAATGTCTTTTCACACAATAACCATGAAATGATATTTTTCATTTGGGGGAGAGTACCCCACTCTTCCCAAGTACTTAAAAAAATACTTTATTTCTTATACTTTTCCTAGCCATTACAAAGAAATTTTAAAAATCAAATCTCTACTAGCAATTTGATTTATAAGAGACAGATGAGAAAGCATTACTAACAGTGATTTTATAGCTTAACCTTAATTACATGTGCAGCTGCATCAATTCAGTTTGGACAAATAATTACATGATTAATCGTGCAGTAACATTAAATGTAACATAACAGTAAGATTAAACAGATTATCTCTACACTCCTTCCTCAGCCAAGTATTTCTGCATTTGTGGTTCGCTTTCTAAGGTTTTATTTTGTTTTTGAACCTGTCAAAAAAAAATAACGGGAGAAACAAGGAGAGCCAGTGTGTGCGTGAATATGTGAGAGATTCCAGGAGAGGAAGAATGGAAATATTTGCTGAATTTTGAATATTCTGTTTGGTAAAAAGAGATATAAAGTCACTGCATTCTGCACCCCAGTGCCTGGGTCATGGGAGACAATTCAGGGTTTGTCCTTTGAATGAATGATCACAGCAATTCATTATTGCTACTAATAATGAAAATATTATGGCCAAATAAAAATTTAGTGAGTTATTTTGGTGTGTGTTCAATGAACTGTCATATCCATGAACTCATTTTATTGTACAAAAAAGATTTAAAAACTAGGTGTAACTATTTCAAACTCCTAGATGGAGAATTTATCCATTCATTTAGCAAATGTTTCTTAAACACCTATTATGCATAATTACAACAGGAGAATCAGACTCGTATATCAATCTGTTACTTAAAATTGTGTATATTTATACACTCTGTGCCCTGCTAGAACTGTGACAAATTCTTGAGAACTTTGAGACATACTTCCTATTGGGACAGCAAATAAAATCTCATTTGAAGACAGAAAACTGCTACTCAAGAAATTTGATAATATGAGAATATATATGCCTTCATCCAAATATATGTGCCTGTGTTCACAGATGTCCCTTATAATCTGACTTAGTGCCAAAGGGGTTAGGTAAAATTAATCCACCAAAAATCAAGGCTAAGATAACTATACTAAATACTAAAATGAGCTTTTATTTAGCCTAAAAAATCTAAGGGAGAAAATTTATTTAATTAAAGCTTAACAATTTTTATGTTCTAATTTTAACAACCCATTCAGTCTTAAGCAAAGAGTGAGTTAAGTCTAATTATTCCTCAAAATAATTTTTCTGAAAAAATCTGTATGATTGCCTTCAAGAACATCTGATTTCTAAACCTGATTTTTTTGCAAAAAAATAATCGAGTCTGCAATTCTTACCAGGATTTCTCTTAAAACATACACACACACACACACACACACACACACACACACACACACACACACA